GTCCAGAGCGTGGCGCTCCGGCCGAGGCTCCGGCCGCACCCCCGCGGCCCTGCAGGGCCTAGTGGTGGCCCCTTGGCGGCCGGCCAGCGTCAGACCAGCGCCAGCAACGAGGCCGCAGGGCACCGACCGGGATTCTTAGCCAAAGCGACGATTATTCAAGACCGCTCAAACACCTTTCAGTGCGGTTATCTGGCTTCCCTCCACCTCCTGGCGAGGCTCCTCCCCTCGTTCGCCGGCCTCTTCTGCCCGGCCGACGCCGCCGCACCGCCGCCAGGCAGCGGCCGCCAGGCCGAGGGCCAGGCAAGCCACGCAGCAGCCCAGAGTCCGTTCAACCCCGGGCCGCGGCCGCGCAGTCAATTCAATTTAAACTTTTTTCGCCCGGCCAGCGCAGCGCGGCGGTCAGCCGACTTCCGAGGGTCGTTTCAGTCGCTGTCTCTCTCGCACCCCATGGGCTCCCCATGAGTGCGAGAGAGACAGAGCGACGAAAACGACTCTCGGAAGGGCGGAGGGGCGCTGGGAGGAAAGGCGAGCCGCTGCTCAAGGGGTTGGCTGGCTGGCTCGCCGCGCGGCCGCCGCCACGGCCGCCGTGACCGGGGCCTCAATGAGGGGCGCGGCGCTCGAGGGCGCGCTGGCAGCGCTAGCATGCACTTGTCCACCTGGTGTGGGAAGCCCGACGGGCCTGGCGAGCCTGGCACGACGCAGTGCAAGAAGCCTGCAGCGTGCGCGTCCGACTGGCCGCCCGGCCGTCTGCGAGTCAGTGTGTGTGTGGCCTAATGCTACGGCGGTGTGGCGGCAGCGGTGCGGCTATCTCTCTCGCACCCGCACGAGAGTTCGAGTGCGAGGGAGAGAGAGAGGCAGAAGCGCTTCCCGCGGAATCTGTCTGCAGGGGTGGCCCAGGGTGGCGCGCCATGGCGGAGCGACGAGCCGGGAGATGAGGTGCAAAGGACAGCGGGCACACTACACTAGGCACACTCGGCGGCGCCGCGCCACCGCCATCCTCTAGGCCCATTAACACACGGTGACCTTGGCGCCGCGCCGCCCCCCGCCACGCCGCCAATTAGCGCCTCTTCGAACACCGCGGTGGAGGACAGGAGGCTCATTCCGAAAGTCGCTTTCGCCGCTCTGTCTCTCTCGCGCCTATACGGAACGCCCCAGGAGTGCGAGAGAGACAGAGCGACGAAAACGACTCTCGGAGTCAGTCTGCGGGCACTAAGCACGGCGACACACGGCACACAGCCCCGCTGCAACGGGTGTCAAGGCCAGCGATGGTCAGTGGGGGAGGCGGCGCACAACGCACAGTCGGCCGGAAGACCGGTGCAGGTGGCCAAAATTTTAGCGGCTCCAGAGTCGCTATACAGAGAACCCAACGAGTGACCCCACCAATGGATTGCTCTCCGAACGAGGAATCCATTGGTGGGGTCGGGTCACACGCACAGCTAGAGTCCTGTTCAGCGACTCGGCCTATCGGTGACGGTGACACACCGGAAGCAGCAGCGTCGTCGGCCGCACCCAGAAGGGCAGCGGCGGCGCCGGTGGTTCGGAGGTCGCCAGAGGAGGTGACCACAAAGAACGGAAAGTTCGTTGGACTGTTACCGTCAAGTCCCCTAAATGTGAACACGAACCCTAAAGTGGGACATTTTGACTATTTTCCCTATTGTAGGCCGTAAACGGCCAAAGCGTGGATATTTTGCGATGTAAAAAATGTTTTTGAGACGGTAGGACCTCTCCAAGACCATATCCGCACAGAGTGTCTTGTTCCCGCTCATACCCCCTCCCCCAAAAAATCTTGAAAATTGGAATTTGATGCAGAAAAAAAGAGAAGTTTTTCAGACGTCTAGCGCGGATTCGGGGCTTCGAGCCGTTGATGCTCGGACCATTCTAGACTTCAGACATGTTGTAGCGCGTTCTTTTATCTACAAGATGCACTTTAGAAAATTTGTTTCCGACGCTTCGTTTTACGGTGGGAAGCAATCTTCTGAGGGGCTGTAAAGTGGGACACATGCATTTCCTTCGTTTCTTTTAGGTTTTGACCGATTCAGAGGCGTTACATTCTCCTCCAGCGTCCTACAAACGCTGCCTTGTATATATTAGGTTGCCAGGTCGGTTTGGAGGCCCAGGCAGTCGGGCAAGTACGGTTATTCGGTACGCTTTAAGTCAGCACAAAATTTAGTCAATGTTTGAAAGCAAATGCTTCCTCTTGGCTTAACCTACAAAGATATCGTTATCGACCATAAGACAAATCTTGCGTAAAATCATATTTTAAACAAAAAAATTTTTAGAAAAAAAGTTGCCGGGTAAACGGTTTTTAATTTTCAAAATTTCAACATGTATTTCTTGCCGTGCATTTCGAAACTTATAAAATATGACCTGAGCAAAAAATTTCATAAAATGGTTTTGATCAGAAATTAAATTTTAAGACCATTTTGTTTTATTGGTTTTCGCCGTATTTCAATTGGTTTAGGCGCTACGGCTGTTTCTAATTTAAATATATCTAAGGAAATCTAATTGATTGAAGAGGCTCATATCAGCTTAACCAGTCGAGATATCGAAAAAGACTTCAGAACCAATCTTGCTCCAAATTTAATTTAGGACATAATTCATGTTAAGAAATTTTTTGCTACTGCAGTTTTTGGGCGAAAACGAATGAACGTGTCCCACTTTAGGGGACTTTGTCCCACTTTAGGAGACTTTGGCTCCTAAATTGGGACACGGTTCTTGCTGCTCCTACTGGAGCCCCATGGGCTGAGAAAAAAATTTGTTTTCGGTAAAAGACGTGTTTTGACATGAAGATTCTTAAATCCCCGGCGATTTTCGGTGTCATCGTTATTCTGTGAATAACAGACGATTTTCCGTAAAAATCGTCCCACTTTAGGGGACTCGACGGTACACTGGCGACGAGGATCCACGAGGATGACGAACGAAAGCGGACCGGGTCGCCGTCACACCGACGGAGGGCGGAGGGCCAGGGGTGCGGGACCAGCGTGGAGCGGCGGGGAGAGAAAAACAGGAGGGAGCTACAGTTCCGAATAATGAAGCGTCCGATGAAAGACGCTTCCGGAAAGACCGTGAGAAAGACCACGGCGCACCGCGCACAGTGGGCCAGAAGACCGGTGGAGGCGGTCGGAATTCTAGACGCGTTTTGGGCTCCAGAGTCGCTAAGTGGGACTCGGACCGAACGTGTGACCCCACCAATGGATTCCTCGTTCGCTGAGCAATCCATTGGTGGGGTCACTCGTTCCGTTCGAGTCCCACTGAGCGACTCCGCAGCTCAAAACGCGTCTAGAGTTTCGGCCGCCTCCACCGGTCTTCTGGCCCACTGTGCCGCGGCGATCCGATCCCATCCCAAGCCATCCCACTCCGCTGCCGGCGTCGCGGCGTCGCACCTCATCGTCTCTTTACCTCCGGCGGCAAATTGGGCGTAATGACTACTTGCAAACACTAATTCCCCCTCCCCCGGCGAAACACGGCGCGGCGAAGGGGGAGGGCGGGGCAAGGGGTAATGAAAGGAGCGCAGGATAGCGCCACGCCGCGTAACGCCAAACAACGCCGCAGCGTCACACACGGCACGCCACGCCACGGCGACGCGCCACGCCCAGGCCAAATTTGGACGCGTCGGGAAACGCGGAAGGGGGGGGGGGCAGCTGAGGCCGGAAGTGGCAGGCAGCAGCCTCAGCCCGGCGTGTGCGTGCGAGCGTGCATGTGTCTCAAGATTTGAGGGGAGGGAAGGGGGCGGTACGGAGGACGGTATGGACGGAAGAAAGGGGTGGGGGACTTCCGGGCAGCTTCCGGGACGGCGAACCGGACGGACACCACGGCGACGGCCAAGGTGAAGCGAAGCAGGATGGCGCTCTTGGTGCATGTCCCCCTTGTCCTCCTCCTCCAGCGTGGCGGCGGTGACGCGGCGGGCCGCAGCCCTGCAAGAGTGCTCCGCGGTGCTAGGCCTGCTAGGCCTGCTAGGCCTGCTAGGCAGGCGACTGGAAGACTGGAGGACGCGGCGCGGCGGCGGCGAGTAGCGAGCCTCGGAACTCGGAGCACCGCAGCACCGCTCTGGAATGCGACCTTGGGCGAGGAGAGGAGCAGCAAGCGGCCCGGCCCGTCGGCCCGTCCATCCGGCGAGTCTACGCCGCCGCGCCGCCGTGTCCCCGGCATGCAAGCACGGCGGGCACGGCGAGCACGCGCGGCCCGATAACGTAATAATACGGGACCCTCCTCCTCCCTCCTTCGGGCCTTCGGGGGAGAAAATAAATCCCGTCCGAGAGCGTCAGCGTCCTCAAACTCCGTCCTCCTCGGCCCCTTTCCCCTCGCCGCGGCGCGCCGTGCATCACCCGGGCATACGACGCCCTGTTCCGCGCCACTCCGCGGCGGCAGGGCGTAGCGGCGCGTAGCGGCGTAGCATGGCGGGGAAGTTTGCCAGGGCGGGGCAGGGGGAATATCGAGATAATGTCCCGCCGGCTACGAAGCGCTCGAAAGTGCCAAAGCCAATATCTTAGTGTTTTGACAGCTTTCGAACGTGCGAGTCGATTCGCAACGGACTGATATGACAGCTGGCGGCACAACGCGATTAAATTTCTGTCCTTTCCTTCTCTTGATAGGGAGGGAGTGAGCGAGTACAGGTGCTGGCAAGGCAGGTGGCCTTGCCCTTGTCCGAGGTGAGGTGAGAGTGCTCTCTTCCAGTGGCACGGCAGCAGCCGGCGGCACCAGCTAGAGCCAGACACACGGACATTATCCTCCCGAAAGGCGGCTCTGCACGCGCCGCGGCGGCGGCGGCAGCCCACCACGCCCCGCCCCGCCCCGCCCCGCCCGCATGCCGTCGTGACACAGAGACACCGCCCCGTGCCGCACTGTCCACGGTCCAAGCCAGTCGGCCCAAGACCACCAGGACCACCTGCCCGACCCCCCATCGACGGCTGACTCAAAACAAAAATGAAAGGAAGGAAGAAACAAGACAAGACTTCTTTCATCTATTCTGTTTCTCTGAACGAGATCAGTGCTGTACTCACCATTTCTTGACACATTCAGCTCCACCAAATTCTCAAAGTTTTGGATGTCAGGGGGCAGCAGCCGAATTTCGTTGTCACTAAGGCCTAGTTTCCTCAGCCGGTGGAGACGGAAAAAATTCTGAAAAAGATGCAAACAGAAGGAAAGTAATATTAGGATGGGTGCAAGGCACTTGATTGGAGGTTTACACATGGAGCGTAGTTCACTTTAGAGATAAGGACGAGCAATGCTTGCAATCAGCCTTGGATCAAGGCCAACCGAGACATGTCTTCCCCTACATTCTGATATAGATATACTGATATATAAGACAATAAATCCTAATCCATTGATTGGGAACATGGTTTAAAACCAGTCTCTTTAAAATCAAATTTCTCTCAACTGACTTTAATTTTCTATGCCAAGAATGTTTTGAATCAATACACAGAGGCATGTATGAATTTGCACCAGACTTGGAAAAAGTCCTCACCTTACCCCCACGTTAAGAAAAAAGGTACCTTGTTTAAAACAGACAAACAATTTGGTACAGCATTTTATTGGCTAAAGTAAAATAAAATTATACAAAAACAAATAAATTAAAGGTAACTTCTTGAAAAAGAGGTGAAAATATAAACGGTGTCCAAAGTATTCAGTCATGGAGAAAAGAAATGAGTGGCACCTTGTGGACACTGAAGTTGGTCTGACATGACCCCACTTGTTGATGAACTTAGTTCCATAAACAGAGTTGGACCTAACACAAACCTATTTAAAATGAAAAATTAGCTCAAGCCGGCACTACCGACGTGCATAAAAGTCCCGGTTACAGACAGAAAAAAGTTTGAAACAGAGTTGAGATGAAACTTAATGAAGGTTAGGCACATAGCAGTAGCCGCAACAAGCAACCGTTAGCTTTACGCTCGGAGCGATGTTCCAGACTTCCCTTCAAACAAGAAGCCGTGGTGTCAAGCAGTAACAAGAAAAGCGAAAAAATAAAAGTCCAGACACAAAAATAACAACAATAGTCCGTGGATACATAAACACGTACTAAAATTGGTGGGGTTAAGACATTCTGTCTTCATTTCCCAACATTCATTCTACCAACGGAAATTTAGCTGAGGTTCAGGGCAGGAAAAATTACCTTCGGCAAGTCTCTGATGTGATTTGCGTCCAATAAAAGTTCCTCTAGGCTCCGAGAATAGCGCAAAATATCTTCTGGGACGGTGTGAAGAGAAGAGTGACGCTTGTTCACATATTCCACTTGCCGATTACATCCCTTAAACATGGGAATACAACGAAACATGACTACTTAAATTTTTGGAACACAGCACATGATAAACTTTATCTAAACACTGCACATATTCCACGGCACGGGACGTTCACAACTTGAGAAAACCGAACGGCAGCATCCACACACCCATCTACTTTTGAACACGAATGTGTACTAAAAAATATGACGTCATAGCTTGTGCTTCGTGCGACGCGAACGCCCCCTGTGCCTCAGAAATAAAAGTAGTAGTGTCCCTGAGAGCTCACAGAGGGCAGCACTCTCCGGCAGTCATTGCCGATTGTCAACTGTCATTGATGTTGGCGCGAAAGTATGGTTTTGGTTTGACTGTGTCGCGGAAAGCCACATCAGGGATTCCCTTTTGAGTTCACTTTATGTGCCAATCATGATTTACAACCTCCCTTTGTCGTTTGCACATTGTTTTCGATTCTTCTTTCTTCCGTAAAGGGCTTAAAAGGGCTTAAGACTGCTAAGACGTAGTGGGCCTGTTCCTAAAGTCTGTCTGTCCTGGTCCACTATGGTCAAAATATCATCTGTTTGAAGTTTTAAAGGCTGTGGATGGGCTGAGGGCCTACAACTTTTCTGCTGCATTTTAACAAACCGAACCTACCTGCTGAACAGCAGGACTTTCGTCCAACGACAACATTTAGAACATATCTCCAAAAAAACGTAATTTTTAAAGGCCAGGTTCGTATTTTGCCCTTGTGAGCCCTGTGACCCATGTCCTGTACTTCATCTCCTTCCAATAATATCTTGAACACTTTGCACAAGTGACGTTATGCCAATTAAAGGTCATTTTATGTTTTGTGGCCCTCTTTTACTTTTTAAGTATTAAAACGTCAAATTTCGATTTTATGATCATGCAGTGATACCCTAAATTTGGGTAGGTTGTTGTTGTTATGCAATATTTTCCTTGAGGTTAGGTTCTAGTTTTGAACATAACTTTTCTGCCACTGTCTGTGTCTGTCATTTAGTTTTATCATGAGGATTCTCCTCGTCTGTGGCTACATTGTCATCTTGTTTTATTTCCAAAGTGCTGATTTTGTCCTATTTACCACTGCACTTTAAGAAACGTTTCGCAGTCATCAGTTATTTACTTGCGTCTATTAAATGTTTTGATTGTAGACTTAATGATCATAGTTATTTTCGGCTACTCATATGCTCCCCTGGTCACTTTACTTCGCTTTGTATTTGTTTTGCTTATTTTGCTACCTTCTCTTGTTCCAGAATGCTTCGAGCACCTTTACATCGGGCCTTGAGCCTCCCCAATCTACGGCAGTTATCACCTGCATTTAGAAATCTCTCAACCACTTCAGCCCAGCTAGAGAAAATTGAAGTTTTTGTTGATGACAAGCCTGTTATGGTTGAGCCTGGAACCACAGTGCTCCAGGTTAATAACATTTTTAAAAAAATAATGTCCATACTGATTAAGTGCTCAAAATTTTAAGCCTGTTTTTGTTGTGCAGGCTGCAGCTATGGTTGGAGTGGAAATACCTCGCTTCTGTTATCATGAACGTTTGGCTGTTGCTGGAAATTGTCGTATGTGTTTGGTAGAAGTTGAAAAATCACCGAAGGTAAGTAGCTTTTTCAGCTTACAATTATTTTCAATTTTGAAAATTTTTCACTTGAACCTTTGTTTGAATATTGTGTTTTAGCCTGTTGCTGCCTGTGCAATGCCTGTAATGAAAGGGTGGCGGATTAAAACAAACTCTGACATGACTAAGAAGGCCCGGGAAGGAGTTATGGAGTTCCTGCTTGTGAACCACCCTCTTGACTGTCCAATTTGTGATCAAGGAGGTGAATGTGACCTCCAAGACCAGAGTATGGCTTTTGGCAGCGACAGAAGCCGTTTCACTGATATTCAATTCGATGGCAAAAGGTCAGTCCAATGCACTGAAAGTTTTAGGTTCGTTTTATTAAATTATTTTAGAAAAAAATATTGAGTGTTGGTGATTTTTTTTGTTTTTAGAGCTGTTGAAGACAAGGATGTTGGTCCTCTTATCAAAACTGTCATGACTCGTTGCATTCACTGTACTCGATGCATTCGTTTCGCATCAGAAGTTGCTGGAGTTGATGATCTAGGAACAACTGGTCGTGGTTCTGATATGCAGGTATGATGATTAAATTTTTCAGATTGCTGTTGATGTGTAGTGTTCTTAGCCATTGCATGTGTCTAACATAACCATTTTCTTCCTCTCAAACAGGTGGGAACTTATGTTGAAAAGATGTTCCTTTCAGAACTTTCAGGTAATGTCATTGACCTGTGCCCTGTTGGAGCTCTTACAAACAAACCATTTGCATTCACTGCTCGTCCATGGGAAACTCGCAAAACTGAAAGTGTTGATGTACTCGATGCTCTGGGAAGTAACATTGTTGTATCCACCCGCACTGGTGAGGTACTGCGCATTCTTCCAAGACTCAATGAGGTATGCTGAGGGTAGAGCATTTGTAGAAAAGTCATCCTGTGATCTCTTTTGCCAGAATTTTAACTCTTTTATAAATTCATACTTTTATTATCAGGAAATCAATGAAGAGTGGCTCTCTGATAAGTCCAGATTTGCATGTGATGGTCTCAAACGTCAGCGCCTGGTTGCTCCGATGGTGAAGAATGAAAAGGGAGAACTAGTATCTTGTGAGTGGGAAGATGCCCTCGTCAGTGTGGCCAAGGCTATGCTGCGGGCAGGAGAACAAACTGCTGCTGTGGCTGGAGGTTTGGCTGATGCAGAGGTATGCATACTTGTAATACTGTTTTCTGATTTGATTTGATTTCTTTTGTTTACTGATGAGTTGTCATTTGGATTGCAGTCTCTGGTAGCCCTGAAAGATTTGTTGAACCGGCTTGGAGGTGAAGCATTGTGCACTGAACACACATTCCCTCAGGATGGTTCTGGGACAGATTTGCGTTCCAGTTACCTCCTCAACAATAAGATTGCAGGTGTGTAAATGCTTGCCTTTAACTTGTTACTTTCTATGTTTTCATTGTTCATAATTATATTTTATAATTTTCTTATCTTCTCTTTTACTTTTAGGAATTGAGGAAGCAGACCTTATTCTTCTTATTGGAACAAACCCTCGTTTTGAAGCTCCTTTGTTGAATGCAAGGATCCGCAAGACTTACATTCATAAGGAATGTGATGTGGCTCTCCTCGGTCCCAAGGTGGACCTGACCTATGATTATGAGGTATGCCTCCCTGCATTGGAGAGCAAACTTAAAAGGCTTATTTTTGTCTGATTTCTTATTCATTTTGATTCTTATGTTTCTTTTCTCTAGCATCTTGGTGATGATACTGCCACATTGAAGAAGCTTGCATCTGGTCAGCATCCCTTTAACAAAAAATTGTCAGCTGCCAAGAATCCCATGATAATTTTGGGTGGCCAACAGTTCGGACGGCAGGATGCTGCTGCAATTCTAGCAGCTGTTCAGCAACTTTCACAGTCTCTGAGCTCAGCATTGAACAACAAGGTATGTAAAAATAGCCCTCAGCCTTCTACTATATGCTCATGTCAAGTATGTTTACTTACTGTGTTCTATGTGTTAAATCTACTTCAGGAATGGAAAATCCTCAATATTCTGCAACAAGTTGCTTCCCAAGTTGCTGCTCTTGATATTGGGTACAAACCAGGTGTAAGCGAAATCCGTGAAAACCCACCCAAGGTATTGTTCCTGCTGGGTGCCGATGAAGGCACTATCACTAGAGCTGATCTTCCTAAGGACTGTTTTGTGGTCTATATAGGTAAAAATATCAATTATACCAAGGCACCTTTCCTCTCTAACTTTATTTTTATTTTATTTTTTAAATAATAACTTTTGTTGTTTTCTGTTTGGTTAAACAGGACACCATGGAGACCAGGGAGCTTCAATGGCTGATGCCATTTTGCCTGGTGCAACATACACAGAGAAACAAGGCACTTTTGTTAACACCGAAGGCCGAACACAACAGACACAAGTAGCTGTCACCCCACCAGGAATGGCACGAGTTGATTGGAAAATTATCCGTGCACTGTCTGAAGTGAGTCTTTTTAAAAATAATATAAGCTGGATCTGCAACCTATATTCAGTTATTTTACCATTTTAATGTTTTCCTCTTCTGTGTCAGGTTGTTGGTACACCCCTTCCGTATGATGATCTTAATGCTGTAAGGCAAAGGCTTACTGAGGTTGCTCCTAACCTAACTCGTTATGGCTCTGCTGAAGATGCTAACTACTTTGCCCAGGCCACTGAATTGTCCAAGGTATGTATCTTGTAATATCATCAGAATAGGATGATCTTTTCATGTGCATCTTTTAATTGAACTTGTTTATATTTCAGTCGGTGAAGACTCAGTTAGCCTCTACTCCATTGGATGTTAAACTTAAAGAACTTCAAGATTTCTTCATGACTGACGCAATCAGCAGAGCATCACCCACTATGGCTAAGTGTGTACAAGCTGTCTTGAAGCAAAAGAGTTCAAAATATTAGGTAGTTCTGCATCATATTTTTTACTTAAATCTTGAAGCAGGTCTTAAACTTTAGAGATTTATTGGAGAATTGAATTCTGTTCTTCAAGTAAAACTCCTCACCGTTTTGAAAGTTGTAGCCTGTGTGATAAGAGGAAAAACATTTTACTGTACAAATTAAGTGGTGTACAAAGAGGGTGATATTTATGCTTGCTTTAAGCAGCAACATTGCTTTTTTTCTTCTTCAAAGTAGAGAAAATATCAAATAGAATGTGAAAGGAAAAGAGAACTATGAACCTTTTCAAGCTAAAATTAAATTGTTGTGAAGTACTGTGTTATGAAATTGTTGATCAGCAAGTTGTTGCCGGAGTAATTGTTGAGTCCTTGTGAAATCCTTTAGCTGGGGCAGTTAAGTTATTAAGCACTGTAAATTTCTACTTGTACAGAAAATGATTATAATTAAATCATAGAACTGAATGTTTTTGGGTTTATTTGAAGTCATTTTGATGAAATTTCTTCTTTATTCTCTCACACATTTATTTATATAATACAATTACAAATTATTATAACATAACACATGAGCCTGCAAAGAGGCTGCTATAATAACACCCTAATGAGAAACTGGAACATATCAACTAAGGCACCTACAACATCAAAATTTCATAATTCAAGAGAAAATTGCACTAGAGAACAAGTGAAGACTTGTTACTGATGATTCTATCACAACATAATTGATACAAGTTCAAACAACACAGGTAGATGTATTTTTACATTAGAAGTGTTGTAGTAATGGGAACAGACCACGACATGTGTATACTTCATCCATTTCCATCCTGAACAGACTAGTTGGAGGACACAATAAATCAAGTACCTAAAACGTGAGTTTAAAAAATAATAGTTATTAACAAAAGATACTTTGAAAATCTAAGTTTACTAAAGAAGTAGGAATTAAATCTCACATCCAATTTGATGTTAATCAACTTTCAGAGAGACTGATCCAACATTTTGCCCTAAACCAATAATTTTTCCACTCTCACTCTTCCTTTCACACGGGGGCTACCGCCGGGGAAGCTGTCCAGAATTGCATCAGGCATGGCAAGTGCCTATGCTGCTCCGTGTGATAAATTAGGCAATCTGTTGTTTTGGAAAATCAGCAAGAACCAAGCGGTAGCAATGGCACATTTCCCCCTGAATATGAAGTATTTAACATCCACACATTCACTCGCACATACATACTCTTGTCTCCTGTCTGTTTATCAGCCTTATCAGTAATAATAGTCAACAGCCGATAAATTGCATGTGAATCAATAGAAGCAACACATATTATAACAACACCCAGATTCAGCGCTAATTACTCAACCCTGCTGAGCTACAAGATTTCAAACAGAAGAATTGATCTTAATAGACTATTACACCAACAGCAATTATGTTATTACTCAGAACAAATTTCTACAGCCAATTGGGATGCTAGTTTCCATAATCTCACTCTCATTTATACTTGTGAGATATTATTGCTCACAATAATTATTGTAACACATGGAAGATTTTCAAAACAGTGCTTTGTTAAATGTTGGTTTTCATATGAGAGCGACTGTGACAATGTGAGATAAAAGAGACCAACACCCAACTCAATGTCCATTTAAATGACTTTCTACAGAATGATTTGTGCTTTGGAACTCTCTAGATGAAAAGTAATAATATTTTATTGTACTTTACTTTAAAAATTGACTCATAAATGAATGGGAAGTAAATGTAACACTACAAAGTACATTTTTAAATAAAATTTTACATGGAAAACAAATGCCTGCAAAGTTCCATTAGTGGTTTTCACTCACAGTTCTGTATCCCAATAAGGCACAATAAGGGAGTAAAATATGTTCTTCATGGAGTAGAACTTTCTATTGTTTCATCATGTTAAGAAGTTTTTAAAGAGAAGGGTCAATGAAAACCACTAAAGACACTTTCAGCAGATTTCCTATACTTGTCTTTAATTGAAAAGAACATCTATTCACCACCCACAATTTGCCCCACTTACGACTTTCCTTTCAGAAATAAAGCTTGCTTCTAATTTTGAAAGCAAGGACCCACCCAGTCCTGTAAAATCCTAGGTTTCTAAAACATCAAAGGAACACAGACTGTACAAATCGATCTGACATGTTGGTGTGCAGATTCCCCCTTCATAATCACAAAATCCCTAAACAACTTTCAACGACCAGAATGAAAAAGAAAGCTTTTACGAAAAATCAAGCACCAATTTTTTTCCGACATGGTGAAAACGTCAAGTCGTGGGTGAGTTTTTACAAGCGACAGTGAAGCGACACAGCAAAATATCCACAGTAAAATGCATCACGATGAATTAATGGTGTTTGGGCGTCTGGGGAATGCGCGACTGTGAGTGAGAAGGGGTGGTTGTTGTTGCTGTTGTTGTTGCTGTGGAGGCGGCGATGTTGTGTCGCGGCACCGGGGCAGCTTGGCGCATTCAGCAGCCGGTGTGCAGCAGCAGGGCGGCGAAGCGCCACAGGCGGGTCCAGGCGTAGCCGCGGGGCGCGTCCTGGGGGCCGAGCAGCCCCGACATGGACACCCCCTCGGGCAGCGAGATGGTGGGCAGCGCGCTGTCGCCGTCCCCGGTGGGGAAGTGCCACTTTCTCTTGGGCTTGCTCTGGGGGCTGGTCATCCTGCAACAGGGCACACGCCACGGTCAGTCTGGTCAGTCCAGAGGCAGAGCGAAGACTCGAAGCACTCGCCGGGCCGGGCGCGGCGAGCAGAGCTGCCCAGCGTGTTGCCTGCCGCCACGGCTGTCCCGACCGCGCGCCGCGCGCCTCACGCCGCGCTCGCGAGTAGCTGCGGGGCCCGGCGCGCCGCGGCGTTCGCAACGCTCCCCTCCCATCGGCCCATCCACCCATCCGCCCATCGCAGTTCTAATTGAGGCTTGATGGCCTCTATTTCGAAGCATTAAAACCGAATGTAACTCGCCCAATCAGTGGGGCCGAAAGTAAAGAAGAGCTCGATGGGCCCGATGCGAGTGGGCGTCGGGGCGTCGGCACGGGGAGTGGGTCGCGGGCCGGCGCGGCGTCGCGCCTCGGCGTCTCGGAGGAGGCGCGCCGTACGCGTTAAAGACACCCATTAAAGTGGACTGCGCAGGGCGGGCCGCACCACGTACCGTGGGAGTCGAAAACGTACTCCACCCACGCGCCGAGTCACTCAACTCTCTTTGCTCTCGAACGAAGCGCGCAGCCACTCCGCAGCGAAGGCACCGACCCGCCCGAGGCGAGTCGCGCCGTGGAACTCGATTGCGAGTTCGAGAAAAGGAGAGAGACAGCCGAACGGGGTGGGCAGGGCAGGGCTGGCCCATCGGTCCACCTTTTGGCGAGCTCCGCACAGCGTGCTGTTCGGCTGTTTGTCGGCGAAGAAGGTGAGGTGCGGCAGCTCTTTAGGGTGCTCGCTGCATTCCCCCCCCTCCCGCATCCGACGAGAGACGGCGGCCCGATTCCATATCGCCACGGCTCCCGTTTTACGGGCGGTCACAAAACGCGTCGCCTACACAAGTGCTTCGGCTGGCCCGGCGGCCCCGTGAGAGGAGGAGGGGGAGGGAGTCAGTAACCTTTATCGTCCAGGTCGTCTGGCTGCACCAGGCCTACGGTGCCTCAGCAGGCCGCGCCGCTCATACATGCCGTGTAACGTATGTCACTGCAGCGGCACCGCGCCGCAGCCGGCCGGAGTGCCCGGGCAGGCCCGGCCAGGCGCGTTACTGCGCCATTAAGAGCGAACGAGTCTCACTTACACGCAATGCACGCCGGCCGGCTTGGGGCTGCCCGTGGGGCTGCCCGTGGGGCTGCCCGTGGGGCTGCGCACCCGTGGGGCGTGGAAATCAAGTGGGCCGTTTCTTATCAAGCAGGCCTGTTTTTCAGGTGAAGTCTTTGTACGAGCCACTGGGCCGACTTGCCTGGCTGTGAGACGACGTGCGTCGTGCCGCCTGACTCCGACGGGCCGTCCCGTTCCATCGCTCTGTCTCTGTCGCACTCACGGGGCGGACTGGGGAGAGCGAGAGGGAAGCCCCTTCGGAACAAGGCGGCTAGTGTCGCCGTCGCCGGGCTGGCGTGGTGGCCGTCAAGTGCCCCAGCGCGGCCGAGTGCGTCGCGACAGCGCGGCAGCCACTCCGACGTCGCGCGCACTGCACTGAAAAACCAAACGTGGTCTAGACAGCACCACTGGTGTGGTCAGATGGGTGCCATTTTGACCACATCAGTTGGTGTTGTCTAGACCACGTTTGGCCACGTTTGGTGTGGTCTAGACCACGTTTGGCCACGTTTGGTGTGGTCTAGACCAGTTGGTGCGGTCTAGACCACGTTTGGTTTTTCAGTGTGCGCAGTAGGCAGGCAGCCGTCTGATTCCGAGCACTGCTTTCGTCGCTCTGTCTCTCTCGCACTCATGGGGCGGTCCGTAGGGGTGCGAGAGAGACAGAACGACGAAGCAGTGTTCGGAATCAGACCAGACGGCAGTGCCGACGGCGGCCTCGAGGGCGTCGCGGGGCGGCCGGCGGAGGGGCTGCATGCAGCGGGCCAAAGCAGGCCGCCCGCCGCGCCGTCCCCTCTGCGTGGTGCGGCGCGGTGTGTCGATCGAGACAGGCTCGCACAGGCAGATGGAGCCCTCGACCTCGGCGGCATGCCGCGGCACCGGGGCTGCAGGGACTGGGACTGCACCTCGTCGCAGCGGGCAGACGCTTTGCTATGAATAACCAGTCGCCTAGTCTGGCCAGGCCTGGGCCACGCTGCAGTCTCGCCGCGCGCCGGCCAAGAGGGGAGGAGGGGAGGGGGCCGTGAAATGGCATCAGAAGAGTTGCTGTAAAAAGAGAGGGGAATCAAAAGGGGCCTCGGCGGACGCGCGGACGACGGGAATGGACCGCCCGGCTCGCCCTGAAAATCGCGCTCTCCACTCGGGACCGCGACACTCCACTCCGCGACCGGCTCGGCTGTGCAAACACTCAGTCAGTTCCATTCTGGCGGGTCCCGTTGGGGAATGGGAGGGAATGGAGTGCGTTGTGGTTCCGTGGGGAGGGGGAGGGGGAGGGGGAGGGGAGGGGGAGGGGGAGGGACTTGCCAGTAAAAGTTGGCAGCGAATTCGTACCCGCCGGCCAAATGCACAACATAAAAGCTCAGCGACGCGCGGCCGCTAGACGACACACAGTGCAGCGGGGTGCACCTCTTCGCCGCAGCCGCCGCAGCCACGGCGCAGCCGCCCACCAGGGCCAGGGCAGGCCAGGGCGGCCGCCGACGTCCGCGGTGCAGTTGGCGGTTTGGGCGCCAGCCAAAACGATTTCGGATTTATTAGTCCGCATAATTCATGACGAGCGTTTGTCTTGCCTGATCCGCGGGGCTGAGTCCACTGCTAAACGCCGCGTGGGGCGGCGCGGGGCCGCGGCTTGTTAATCCTCACAGCCTCAAAGCCGCGGCCCTCGTCACGGAAAGGCTCCTGTTTTTCTCGAGGAACTACACTGTTTGGCGGGAAGACAGGATGGCGCTGTTGCGCTCGTCGCAGCGTTTTGAAAGCTCCGCGCGGTGGGCGGGTTTCGCCTTCGCCTGCTTCGCCTCCGCCGCACCGCGCGGAACGGCAAAGGGCCGCGACGGGCTGGTTCACCTTCACCTTCGCCAGCAGCAGGCGAAGCCAGGCGAAGCGGGCGGAGGTGTCTGGTGACACGCCGCAGCGGCCGCGCGCCGCGTCGCCGGGCCGGGCTCATCTGCAGTGTCGAAACTGACGCGACGTCTGGCTGTCTAGCCGTCTGGCTGTCTGGATGCCCCCCCCCCTCTCCCCGCGCCCCGCGCGCTGTCACAGTGACGACGGGCCGGTTCGAACCGCGCTCCGTCGGTCCATCCTGGTCCTCGTGGCGGCTGACAAAGGCGGCGTGGCGTCCCGTAGGAAAATGATTTGGACCGAGGGCACGGCACGGCGGCAGGGCAGGGCCTGGCCCCCGGCCTGGGCACGCCGTCGGCACGCCGCATGGGCCGCATGGAATGATGACAACAGCTGGCCATCGGCTGGAGCGGAAGGGGAAGGGAAGGGGAATGCCCGCGGCGGGGAGGGCAGGGGAAATGGGAGGCGGGCGTTGACACACTGATCCAGAATCCCCGCCCGCTCGCGCGCCATGCCCACCATGCCCTGCCGCAGCGGGGACCCGCCAGCCCGGCCTAGGCCTAAGGCCCGGCCGCCCCCGCGCCAAACAAGCCCAACTTGCGGCCTGCTTTGACGCTTCGCCGCGCCGAGCTTTGACGCGCTGACGGCCGCCGACACGTGTCACGCCTCCTGATAGGGCCCGCGTGGTCCTTGACGGCCTCGCCAGCCTCTAGGACGTGTGCGTGCGGCGCAGCGAGCGCAGCGCGGCCTGACTAGCGATTCGAGTCCTATAGTCCTTGTACGGAACGCGCGCGGCTCGGGAAGGTCATAAGTGCGTGGGCCCTGACTGCGACTCACTGAAGTTGTGGCAGCCGAGTGGCAGCCTCCGCAGCGCCAGGGCCGCCCCAGGGCCGCGTCGGGTCCGCCAGACACACCGCTAGCAGCAGCCCGATGATGAATTCAAAGCCCACTTTACTTTATGCCTACTTTCTGGCGGGGTGCGCGGCCAGCCTGCAGTGCCTGCAGCCTCACGCACGTGCTTTTCGGAAGTCATCGCGTCGCCGCCTCCGTTGCCACCGCGCTCCACCGCGCGACCGTGGAGCGGTTTGCCAGCCGTCTGATTCCGAACACTGCTTCGTCGCTCTGTCTCTCTCGCACCCCTACGGACCGCCCCATGAGTGCGAGAGAGACAGAGCGACGAAAGCAGTGCTCGGAATCAGACGGCAGAGCACGAGCACGAGCGATGCACGCGTTGCCGTTGGCTGCCGTTGGCGGTGTGGGAACCGCAGCAGACTGAGAGTCGTTGCCTCCCTCGCACCCATGCGGGGCGCCCCGTGAGTGCGAGAGAGACTCGGAAGCTCGCGGGGAAGGCGCGCAGTGCAGTCCGCCGCGCCACTTGACGCTTGACGCCCGCATCCTTTTGAGCGGGCCGGCCTATTGTTCCAACAAACGAGCATCGCGACGGCCACGCCGGGCAGTGCAGCGTGTGTGAGTGTGTGTGAGTGGGAAGGCGCGCACCAGACGCCCCGCCGGCCGGCAGGCCGTGTGGTGTGTGTGAGTGGGAAGGCGCGCACCAGACGCCCCGCCGGCCGGCAGGCCGTGTGGTGTGTGTGAGTGGGAAGGCGCGCACCAGACGCCCCGCCGGCCGGCAGGCCGTGTGGTGTGTGTGAGTGGGAAGGCGCGCACCAGCGCCCCGCCGGCCGGCAGGCCGTGGGTGTGTGTGAGTGGGAAGGCGCGCACCAGACGCCCGCCGGCCGGCAGGCCGTGTGGTGTGTGTGAGTGGGAAGGCGCGCACCAGACGCCCCGCCGGCCGGCAGGCCGTGTGGTGTGTGTGAGTGGGAAGGCGCGCACCAGACGCCCCGCCGGCCGGCAGGCCGTGTGGTGTGTGTGAGTGGGAAGGCGCGCACCAGACGCCCCGCCGGCCGGCAGGCCGTGTGGTTGTGTGAGTGGGAAGGCGCGCACCAGACGCCCCGCCGGCCGGCAGGCCGTGTGGTGTGTGTGAGTGGGAAGGCGCGCACCAGACGCCCCGCCGGCCGGCAGGCCGTGTGGTGTGTGTGAGTGGGAAGGC